TTTAAAGGCAAAACAACTGGATCAAGACTTGGTAACAAGTATGATTTTAGGTGTTCGAAAACAACTTCTGAAAATATACAAAAAAGGTGTTTATAGCGTTTGTTAATATTTTATAGGAACTGTTTTTTATGCTTTATTTAATGAAATAAAAATCATGAAAATCTGATGAATTATTACTTGACAGAATGCTCGGACATTTGTACGGGTACTTTTGCATCGTAGGTTAACTCATTTAAATTGTCATAATCTATTGCAAGATTAACATGATATCGTCGTCTTTTCTTAATCGTAATAGATACGGTTTTTTCTTAGAATACACTAATAAATAAAACTAAGACATCTAGTTAATATATCAATTCATAAATATCTTTATTTAGCCGAGTTTTATCAGTAAAATCAGACGAATCATAAATGCATGATTTTATTAGGCCTTATTGCATTACATTTTTTGTTTGTTATTATTTTGTTTTTCTCTCATTCAAGAAAAAATGAAATGAATACTCCTACACGTTTTTCTGTAGAATTATATATTACTTTCTTGAACGCTCTTTGATCATCAAGAATCTTTTTTAATTCATACAAATATTCTTCTCTATTCAACATCACAACTGCATTTCGTTGGTTCGCTTTTGATATTAGCAATAATTTATCATTTTTAAAATGAGAGGGCAGCTGCTATTTCTTCTGCTGACATATTGAGAATTTCATTTTTCATATTAACATTAATTTTATTTTCAAAATTATTTAAAAGGTTCTGTATTTTATTAGATTTGTCATTTAAACCAAATACTGTATTTCGTTGTAAACATACAAATAAGTATTCTAGATTTGTTTTAACATTCAATTTATTCAATCTCATAGTATGTCTTCATTCTTTTGAAAATAGATTTTCTTCAGTTTGAGTTAACAAACCATCAGAATAGTTATATACTAATTCATTATTAAAATTATTAACATCTAAAAAAATTCTAACGAAGTAAATATTTATTTGTATGGTGGTCTTTCATTAAGTTTTTCCATTTATCATAATATCGCCCAAATGAGACTTTATTTCATTACAAAAAAAAAGTATTACCTTCATTTTTTACATTTTATTTTCAAAATTCTGATAGTTACGATTAAGTCCTATCAATAATTTGTCTTATGATTTATATTCATCAAATAATATTCTGGTAGCCATTTATTACAAATTAAGAGATGCTATATAACGATAAAAATATTTTTTTTGTTTGAAACGTTTCGTGAATATCTATTCATTCCATCAGTCAGAAGGACAAATAAGAGTACACAAACAGTTTAAAGCAAACAAGTACACAACTTTATGAAGCATGAAAAAGTCGAATAAAATAAATCAGTTTAATTTATGATATTTTTGCGTCCATCATAAAGTTGTTTCCTTGCTTGTTTAAAACTGTTTGTGTATCCTTATTTGTCCTTCTCACTGATAAAGCGAATAAATATTCATGAAACATCTCAAATTAAAATATTTTTATCGTTGCATAGCATTATCTTATTTTGTATTAAGTCTCTATTCATAGAGTGATTAAAAATCACAATGAATCATTGTGTCAACATGTCCTGTTAGATTATAACATGCATGGTACTTCGCAATTAAAGTTGAAGTAAATGTATTATATATTAATTCAGTTCTTATCTTAGATGCTGTCAAAGTTACTACAAACTGACTTCTAAATTGTGTCTTATGAAAGTCGTTTTGTGCAGATGACGTTATAGTAAGAACACATAGTATAAAGCACACTATAAGTTTTACGTATTTGCAATTTATCGAAAGGAAAACTGAGAAATTTCGGAAAATTTTGAAGCATAATAAAGTAGTCGTAAGGAAATTGTAAAGTAGATTTCAGAAATTAATGAAAACTTTTGATATTGACTAAGCAATTCCAATGTTAACTTATTATTTTTTGAAATGACTGAGATTTCTATCTACTAATGATAAATAAATCATACTGTTTTATTGAAAATATGTGAGATCCGAATTCTCAAGTCGCATGAATTTTCAGAAATGACTGCAAAATTTCCAAAATTACCGAAAATTCTTATACTTTCGCAAGTTGGCTTCTATATTTCTAAAAACATAAAACTTCATGTATAAGTCTTGATGTTAGAGACATTTTAAACATTTCCGTAATTTCTTTAGAATTTCTTTCCTACGAATCCATAACTGTCTGCTCTCACGTTAGTGATCTCAGAAATTATCTTTTCCAAAAATCTGAACACTACTATAAATACTGGATTTCAACGATTTTTCCATTCATTCGTCATCCAGGTTCATTCTATTCTAAGTGCTAAAATTTGTTACCAAGATATTATTCTTTGTCAATATATCACAGAACATTTCACATTTCTATTTATTCAGATAACTAAGTAGAAGTAGAAGTAGTAAATGATAATATTGATTTTCATCCATCAATTAAATTCAATGGTGATTCCAACATGTTTGGGCATAATAGTTAATTTTTCAACATATCCGCCTGCATTGACTTCAGAACCACCATCACAAAATGTCACTTGTTGTAGCATGCGAGCTAGGATTACTTTGAGTTCTAGTCGAGCTAAATCTTGTCCAAGACATTGACGATGGCCGGCTCCAAATGGTAGAAATGCATATGGATGATGATTTTTATCTTCGTCAAGAAATCTTTCGGGATAGAATAATTCGGGATCGACTTTCCAATAACGAGTGTCTCGAGCGAGAGCAAATGTCGGAATCATCAATTGATCGCCTTTGTAGAGTCGAGTACCACTTTTAGGTAGATAGTCATTGACAATCACTGAACGAAATGTTGCATCAATCGCTGGAGAAAAACGAAGTACCTCATTGATAAAGCAATCCAAATAAATGAATGAGTCGAGACAATCCAATGATAAATATTGACCATTATTACACTGCATCAGCTCTGTCTTGATTTTTTGTTGAACTCGTGGATGTTTACTTAGCTGATAAATAGACCAAGCAAGAGAGGTAGACGTCGTTTCATAACCAGCAATGATAAACATAAGCATCTCATCAAAAAGTTCCTTTCGTGATAGACCTGTCCACAATAGAATGTTAGGAGTAAAACAAAAACTTCATGTTAATCAAGTTAGGCAAGTATGGCAAAAACTAAATTAAATATATCGACGAAGACGACGTTTTTTATACATATTATTAGATGGTATTTAATTTTCTTAATTAAACACGACTAAGCGTTTTCATATTATCATTAAATATTCTTATCTCATAAAAATTGCAGAACATCAACAATATAGTTTGAATGATAATCATTTCAATGTTCTTCTCAGTTTTCACGGTCAAGACATCTCAAATGAGTTTGTCTGTTTTATATACCGGATAGTGTACACATTCTAATTCGATTCAATAACACGCAAATCAATACACAAAAACTGTTGTATCAGACCAATAACCACGTAACTTCCAGTCCTCAGCTTACCAATCTCAATATAATTCAATAACAGCATCGCAAACAATAAATTTCAACTTTTTTTATTTCATACATGTTTGAACTATCTTCTTATCTTAGACTAGTTTTTTGAATTTTTGAAAAATGCTTTTGGATAAGATATAACATGTCATATATATTCAAATGATTATTGTCGGTTCTAATGATTTTCACTGTTAACAGCGCGAGCAGATGACATATACATTCCAATATCTGTCTTCGATTTTTGTGGCTCTGTTGATAACTATTTGGTTGATGAATTCAACAGTCACTAAGAAGAACTAATGGGTGGTCCAAAAGTTTTGACTCCTCTCGGTAAATCGATTATATCTGCCACTAAATAATATGAAGTTATTGATCAAATTATGTCATTTTGTAAAGCAAGATTAGAGCTATCAGCTGAAAAACCAACTAGTTCGAAATGCATGAATATAAAGTTGAGTTTTCAATAGCGTTAGCTGGTTGACTGTTCTATCTGTTCATGTAGCTTGGAACAGTTATTTTCATCTTTAGTATGTGACGCTGCATTTCGAGACATCAATTAGCAATCGATCAACTAAAGTTATTGGAAGTTAAGCATGCTATCTCATGCAACATATGTGAAATTTTTATTACTTTGCGTGGTTTCTTCTGAGTTTTATATTGGAAACAAGATTTGTATTTTTCTTGATATTCATATTCTTGTTGAGCTTGTCGAACCATATAAAAATATTTATTAAAATCGTATAGAAAATAATATTTCGGTGGCCTTTAATGACTCAAACATTAAAGATGTTTTTGTTGTACAAAAAATGTAACGTAAAAATCTTCACTCAAGATTAGGAAAATGACCATAACATAGTAATAGATTCATGTATTTCGAACTAGTTTTGTTTAGATGATAACTCTAATCTTTCTCTACAAAATGACATAATTCGATCAATAAATTCATATAAGTTTGTTGTAGATATCATCGATTTACCGAGAGGAGTTGAAACTTTTGGGCCACTCTTTAGTTTTTTGACTCTTGTGAGATCCAAATTCTAAAATTCTGGTCTATATGACAATATTCTTTGATGAGTCTCATTCTCTCTATTAAATCAAAATACTTTAAAAAGAAGAGCTTAGGGAATTCGTTAGGATCAAACACCGTCCTGATATCTGCTAGATAATGGTTTTCTTGTTGTTTCTATATGGTGTAGTAGCTCGAAAGATCGAGGAAGATAACTGAATCATACATCACTCAATGTGAAATTCCATGAATTACGAGTAAATATAATTTTCTCTTAATAATTGAATTTTAACTTCTTCGTTTGTCTTCCATAAAAATTACCTAGACCCAGAGGTAGCATCGATTTTTCGTGCAAATGAGTCAGGAGTAACACAATGCGAGAGGAAATGATTAGTAACTGATAGAAAACTAATGTCGATTGTGGATAAAAACACTATGAGCATATTTTTTATAAGCGGATTCATAGGTAGGAATCACAAGTTAATTTGTTGTTCCTATATAGAAAATTGACAATAAAAGTTGTTAAATTTTCCAATTTTCGGATGCTCAGCTTCCAATCAGGTTGATTTTAATTCCTTCCTTCAAAACATAAATATATCATCACTTCAAGTATATGAATTTTTCTGTCGAGTTGCTGATCTAGCTGGAATTTTCAGAATAGACTGCTTAGTAGATTGGTAGTACCACAGCGTAAAAGATAAATAAATTCAACACTTTCAAGGACAAGAGCTATTTCGTGTCGATAGTTGCGCTCCTATTGAGTTCATAAAAGCAAGCTTTCTTTTGTGGTCGTTAGATCTATCTGGTTGATACTTTTCAGGAAGAGTTGTGAGTTGTATAAAAACTGAACAGTGAAGAAGAAAAGTTGCTTTCATCGATTCAATGCTAAGAACCACTATCAATGCGTGACGACTCTTGTCATTGAAACGATGTTGAATTCCTTTTTCATTCACCTTGTCGGACTGTTAATCTTTTTAGCAGTCTACCCAAAATTTTCAGTTCAATTAATAACCTCAGAGAAAAGTTCATATTTTTGCAGTGCGATAGTTTGTATTTTATTTTGACACAGATGCATCCACTTGTCCGAAAGATGAGTACAAGCAATGATTTGGACTGAACCTTCAGAGAGAATTAAATTTGTCAATCGTCAAAATTTGAAAAATCTTCAAACATTCAAGATACACATTAGTTGGCATGATGATCTACAAGACATAAAAAGTGTAGGACGTATATAATTTTCCACTTCATCTTAATCATTAAAAGTGTCGCATTATTTTCGACGGGTAATCTTTAAGAGAAAAATTCAGTACATAAATCCATAGTGAATTATTAGAAAGAATAATTTAATTAAATGTTTTCACGGATAAAGTTTACCTTTTTTCTCTTCTTCCATTTTTCTTGCTTCTGTTTTCTCATCTATTTGCAATGAACTAACAAGCGATGCGATCAATGAAGTTTTCTTTCGTTGTGCTCTTGATTCTGAGCTTTCAGCAAATTCTCGTTCGACCATCTTATTAAGATATCGTTCGACGATTGCATGTGCACGTCGATATCGAGGACAACATTTCAAATAGATAATTGATACAATTCTAGGTGCGCTTATCATCGTATAAATCATGTTTATGATATCTTGTAGAGCTTGAGTCAGTTCATTTTTCTTTGCTAAATTATTATCATCAATTGCCTCCAAATTGTAATCAAAGGCAATCAATCCAAAGATTTCAAGTAAAAGTTTTTGACACTGCTCGATAATATCCATATGCACTTGTCGAAATGGTTTAGCACGCCACCTATCCAATAGTTTGTCAGTGCCGTCAATAATTACGTTGATATTTGAAATAATCTTGCTACGACGAAATAGTGGCACAGTGAGCGCACCATGTCGTTTAAATTTAGCACCTATAAATCATAATGAACAAATCTTTGTCACAACTGAAAAAAACGATACCTCTGCTACAAATGATACTATCGGGAATTAAAATGCTGACATTTTGTAAAAATATCTCTCCTTGATCATATATATTTCGATGGGTAAAAATGTATTGAACATCATCAATATTATGTACGACAATGAAACGACTAAAACCAATCCAATATTGATAAATATCACCGTAAAGTTCCTTGAACGCTATGTATATTTCAGGCGATACTTTTTTACCAAACAATAAACCTGATTGGATCAGATTTCCAAAAAATAAATGTGGCGATAAACCAGGCACTGGACCACGAAGTGTAAAATATTTGAGTTTTACGTATATCAGCAATAAGACGACAATGACAGCAAATAAGAAGGCGATCATTTCACTATTGCGTTGAATAACAAACCGGTGATGTGAATATATAATGATAAATGTATCGCATGCGCGCACATGTTGCTTTTCTTTCTTGTTTTATTTTGTCCATTTTTCATTCTTTCGCAATCGTACGACAGATAAAATCAACACTATCATGCACAAGTAATAAGCTGACATGTTCCATTTCTAGATCGATACAAATAGGTTATTGATTTTCACAAATATGGAGTGTTTTGGTGAAGTAATAACCGCATATCGTTCATACCGAGCACCTTCATATGAATGAAAAGAGGAAGATTTCGATTAGGCTAGTCTATTTGAGCTAGACACAAGATTCTTTCATTCGAGAAAAAGAATATTGGGTGTGGGCGAGTAATCGACATTTTTTATCAGTCATGAAAATATAAACTATCGAAATTAGGCCAGCATGTTCAAATATATCTTATGTATTATAGGAAAAAGACAACTTTCAATTAAAGACGATTTATTTTTCGCATATTGCAAAGCTTACAAAATACATTAGACGATAAAACTTTTTGAGTTCTAGCATTGGTGAAATGATTAAAGAATTCCCTAGTTGCTGCATAAAATACTCTAGCCCGACATCTTGTTAACTAAATGTCAAATAGAGCAAATTGTGGCTTTATTTTTGGGTAGTAAGACATGTTATTTGTAATTAAAAGGAAATTTCAGAAATATCATATATAGCCGTAGAAATTGTTGTTAATTATGATTGAAATAGCATGAAGTCAAAACTTCCTCAATGAGAAAGACAAAAATAATTTTCATAAAGAAAATTTGTAGAAAACCATTAAAAAATCAGATAACAATTCTCGTTGAAAATTTTCTCAGTATTTTCAATAATACTATTGGAAAAGTGATACAACCTTGCTCAAAATTTCAAAGATTGATTACGTCATTCCTTCTACAACATATTAAAAATTGAAGAAATTTTGAAACATCACCCGATCAGGGATGACCAGAGGGACTAATTTTTTCAAATCTATTACTTTATCACAAATAATAGTAATGCAGATTCCCTAATGAGAAAGTATTTGTGGAGCAGTTTTTTACAAACCATCTTTTTGTACTACGAATATGATTCTATTTGGCATGTAGCAGTTGAGCCTCTTGCCTATGCGGCACTTGTTAGTTAGTATTATTTCCTTTGTTTTCATAAAATTTGACTACTATATGGTTAGCACTTCGCTTGTTGATGTTTCGTTGACTGGCTAATTTTGAATATGGTTGTAATTTGGCCTACCAATCAACGACAATAGTGTAGGTATTAAGAAACTAGAGGTGTGCAATATTTCAAATAGATACAAAAAGAAAAAAAATGAATTAAGTTGTTAGTAACGAACCGGAAAACAAAGTTAGTTAGTATGAGTATGAGACTGTGTCTCGATGGATGTGAATAAGAGAGCTGATAAAGACAAAAGCCAGACCCATGGTTACTCTGTGAATGAAGTTTGATATGTGCTTTGTGCTGCTTAGAAAAGCTTACTTTAATTTAAAATATACAGCAAATACATTGTTAAAACTATCTAGAAATTACCAAAGAAACTATAGTAATTTTAGTAATGACGGAAATTTGCGGAGCTACTAGTATGATATTAGTATCACTAACATTGACATTAATACATGGGAGAAAATCAAGAACGATCTCACGAGAAATTTCCGTAAATACCGAAATTATCAAAGTTACTGGAACTACATAGTCCAGGGGTTGGGCGTGAGCTTTTCCTCTTTATGTATGGAGTAGATGGATGTGGATGTGGATGTGAGCGAGTACGATCATCTCTACTTTATCCACACTTTCATTGACACCGGGCACCGTCACAATCACACTCACACTCGTCCTCTGTTGAAATCCAACTATATCCTTTGTTTGACCGGGTATCTTCTGATTCCTTCAATGCTCAAGATCTGGAAGGATTTTGTGAGATCAAATTAACGAATTAGGCATGAATTGATCGGGCCTTTTCGAATGTAATCCGTTCCGAAACCCGATTGAAAGAAATCCAACAAATACCAAGTCGCATTTGATCGTGTTTTCATGGAACATGTCAGCTTCCAACTGGTTTGACATCGGATTCTATCTTTGTTGATGGAACCTAGATTAGATCGAATGCCTTCGAAGGCAAAAACAGTACTCAACGTTTTTCAATGTCCATTGATGAACTAGTATTACTAATAAATAAGTTGAAGAAAAGTGAATATTCTAACAATATCATGTGTTAGTTATGTCAAAAGAAAGATAAACCAGAACGATTAGGTGAGAGTTCAAATCTTTTCTTAAGGCGTAACTGAAACATATAAGAGGCACGAAAATTTCTTGCAATTAGGCTCACTAAGACACTATTTTTAAAAGAGAAAACATAATAAAAGTTGATTGATAATGAAAAGTACTGTTCTTATGTTTTTTATTGTTTGAGTGGATAAGTTTAGTTTAACTTTTTGGTTTGTCAACATGATGAGCATTACGTGAGTACGGTTTACTAAAAGAAAAATACACGAGTTTATATTTTCTGTACTTTTTTTTACAAACCGTGTATTTTTCTTAATTATTGTCTCATTGTCTTCAGTTTGCGGCTGTGATTGATTAACTCTGACGGCAACCTTTTCGTCTTTGTGTAAAAGTTCCTTGTAGTTTTCCATTGCTTTAGCTTGTGTATACTCATGAATGTTGTCTTCTAAATGAGAATAGAGTCTACTATTTTATACGAATAATAATATCTATTTACGATTATTGACTTTTCCAGAATTGTTCAAGTTTCTTCTCCTTGGATATGATATATTTACTTGAAGACGTGTATTCCATTGTGGAATATGTTTACCTGTGTGTAGAAAAGAATACTGAACGACTTGACATATATCAAAGATAGTATATACCATTGTATTCTGCAACTGCAGCAGCGGCCGATTCCTTGTTGACATAGACTATTTTTGCGTTACACAGACCGTCCTTCGTGTTTGGATTTTTGAAAATGAATATTTCGGTTTTATGAGTGGTGGGATTGTACTAGAAAATATCCAAATTCTTAGCAATACGCAAACACTTCTTCATATCCAGTTTAGTGATACAATTGATCTTCGGATGTACTATATGTCACGTCAAACTGTACGTATATGACGCGATAGATTAAATCATGCTCATCAAATGGGATAAATACAAGTAACAGTTTTTTTTCATAGAAAAATCTTTTGGCGAAGAGATAGACAGAACTAATTCCTCTACTTATTTCAGATTTTAATCGTGTTTATACGCATTCCTATCCACTCAGCGTATAGTATGTTTGATATAAATTGTAAGAATCTACAATTTCTTATACATATATGACAATGATAAGTGTACCTTGATGCGTCCAACTTTTGAAAACTGATCAAATAGATCATTAAATTTGACAGTAGCAGGCAGATTCTTTATGAATATGGCATCTTCTTCTTTTTGATTTGTACCATCGACGGAAACTCTCGAAACTGATGAAGTTTCACTTTCATCGCTGGATTCATTTTCCGTTGCTAAACAAAGAGCAATTATACATGGCAAACGCTTGCTTCAAGATTTCACAAAAATATTGACTTACTTTTTTGTAATTGATACATCTTTTGTGTCAGTTCCTTGATTTCATTGTCATGCTTTTTAACTTGATCGATAAGTTGTCGAGTTTCAGCAATCAGTAAAGATAACACTGGTCGCAATGGTTCAAAAACACATGTTGTGATATGATTCTGTAATTCATCACGTGGTCCTTTCCAAGGACATTTGATGTCAGCAGCTTGGCATTGAATCACTGATTTTGGACAAACCTTGTTAATATGATCCACAAAGTTTCCACGTTGTAAACCAGTTTGTGCACATAATATGCACTTAACACGAAGTTGATCAAGCATATTCCGTAAGGGACGACTGGCTTGAGCGAGTTCTTTGGTCGATATGGGCTTTTTAAGGCACATAGGACATGAACAATTGTCATTCTGATCAAGCCATCGTGTGATGCACGCACGGCCATAAGTATGATCACATGGTGTGCAAACTGGATCCTTGAGAGGTTTGTGACAAATGCTGCATATTAAATTTGGATCAATGGATTGTTCATCCATATATTCCATAAATTCAAATTCACAATCGTCTACCATTAGTACTTCGAAGAAAATATCTATAAATAATCTACAATGATCTTTTAAAAACAGTTATTCTTTGTTGCACGCACTAACTATTAGATCAAGATATGTATCAAAGTATTAATAAATTGCAGCGAATTTGTGTTATTAATAAAAAAAAAGTGTCGCACTCAGTCTTCCGTTTTTTAGTTTCGTTACCCGTTGTTTTAAATATGAAGTCCTAAACAAAACTGTTAGAATAAGATACGTATATTAGATTTTGTTTCTATAATACTAAACATCTAACTTAAATCAAATAGTGATTAAAATAGCCAATGAAGTTCTTTCTCTAAAATGTATTCTAGTTCAAGGTTTCACAGATGAGCTTTGACACCAATATTTCTAAAAGGCCGAAACAATTGTTATCAGATCATGGAAGACTGCAGAAATCTTTTCTCTTGGCGCTACAAGTTTGCACAGTATGCTATTTTTTTCGTCGATTTTCAGCATTCGTGTTGCTTCATTTCCAAATTTTCCCATTTTTCGTCATAATTGTAACTTCTTAAGGGAATATCATAGAAAATGTAATGAATCTGCATTTCGTTCAGAAGTTTCCGCCTTGCATAGCACACTCTCAAAAAATAGTTTCTATAACGCATTCTAGGACCTGAAAAAAAAATTGTTTTCTACCTTTTAATAACACTGATCTCATAGTTCATCCGTTAAACCTTGGTATAGAATGCATTTTTCGAGAGAGCTTCGTTAACTATGCAAATCGCTGTTTGAATTTGAGCTGAGTGTCTGATGTTATAGAAAAAAGTCACAAAATCTTGTTGTGATAATTTTGTTCGGTACTTGAAGGCTGAAGAATAAGGCACGTAGACTGCCGTACACAACAATATTTTACGGTGCCAATGAACATACTGTATCTGAGTACTCTGGATACACTGTATCTGGGTCATATTACAGAAGTCTCTAAAATTCATAATTAGCTACCATTTAATGGTATACAACCAAGGGGGAAACAGCTGATTATTCATTGGGGTTGATTAGGGATGATTAGGAATAATTAGGGAGATGATTAGCTTCACAGATAATCATCTCCCTAATCATCCCTAATCAAGTCTAATCAACCCTAATCAATAATCAGCTGTTTCTTCCTTGCATACAACCCATAGCTCTTGTTGAATTTTATCTAATTCAATCAACTACAACAGTCAAAAATGCTTTTCTGGTACGTTTATGACGGTCAATCTTTCTTCGGCTCCTCATTGTATACAGAGATATGTGACTTTTCGATACTTCGCAGCCGTCGTTTAGGCATAACAAGTCAGCACTATACATGCTGGAATATTTCATTTTATGCTGAAACTTCTGAAAGTTTTTTCCAAGTATTGATGTTTCTCTCGTATCAAACTCTTTCTGGCTGACTTTTTCATTACCTGTACTCCAAGAGTCGAACAACACTTCGTTTGTTATGTGTTTCAAGCCATATGCACTATATGGCATAGTAATTTCCATGAACGATTAAGCTCATCTAATGCGTCATGTTGTCAAGAGGATATTGACAATATTAAAATGTTCATTTAGGATAACTAACGAGATATTTAGTGCCACTTGTGGTACAAGCACGGTTATAGAAAGTTACTTAACTTTACCTATGTAGAAAGTGTTTACAAATATTGTAAACAGCTTCCTATTTTACAAATCAGATTGAGTGTACATATGGTGGCACACCGTTATATATATATGATGAAAATAGAACTATACTCACGAGGGAACGTTCCCAAGTGATTAAAAGCTTTTGAGCTCATATGTTGCCCATTAGGTAGGGGACCACTAGATTAGAGAAACTTCCAAAGGATTCGTGCCCATATTGAGATTTGACAGAGATATCAAATTTTTAGTGGATTTTTCCTGCTGGACCCTAGTTTTAGAGCAAAATCATATTTTGCAATTNTAGGTTTTTTATTACAATAAAGTTAGTATGAGAAACAATGCTAAATGTGAGAATAGTTAAGAGTCATGAAAAAGTAGAAGAAAAAAAAAAGGAAGTCTAATTCTTCTCTATATAGTCTGATGAGTCTTCTTCTTTTCTGTTACGTAGTCATTTTGCGGAACATATATGAAATATCAATGCCTAGAACAGATTAAAAAAGAGACTTTTAATCTTTTGCTTAATACTCTTACGAAGAAAAAGGATCGTAATTTTAAAAGTATGCTATCAAGCTTCGTAAAACAACTCAAACAAAAGTTTTCTGATTCAATACTTAGTCGATTTTACTTTGCAATAAAAATTTTTATAACAGGATATTTATTTAAATTGATTTGCATTAGACTTTAAGTCATCCGGAAATATTTTTCATGTAACTCATAATAACAAAAACACGAGAAAAAATATGTTAACAGGAAAAATAAACAGATTGCAGAGAAATAGAGTTTAAGTATAAAAACTACATAGAAATGTACAGAACTAAATTCTTTTTAGTTTCGCTACCAGTTGTAAGCCTATTAAATCTGGCATAGTCTCGACTCATGGATTAAATCTTGCAAGTGTTAAATCGCTTTTAAGAGGAGACTATGTACAATACATAAAACTCAAGTGAGCTATGAGTTCTCTAAAATGAGTTTGTGTCCTTGGCTTATTGATTTAAAGACACTGCATTTTTATCGTATTTTTTTGAAATTAGCGTTATGGTTTCTCTAAGGAACACGAGAAAAATTCATTTTCAAATTTCAACTTGAAACTTTGCAAAAAGACAGTTCTAAACGAGAATATGTTTTTTTTGTGAATGTTTCAGATTTTGTCGTTGTTCCTATCCTGAAATACAACTATGGTAATAGTGTGTCTTTTACATTGTTCAAATACATCGACAGATTCGATACTTTTATTTCACGACATTCATTCAAAAAGTACCGTAAAATTACGATATCTCCACAGCAAAAAGTCAAGAGCAAGAACTTCTTTCATTAAGGAAAACTATTTCAGAATTTATTCGCATTAAAGCTAAGAAAAACTCTTAAATATTGGTGCTTTGATTCAGCTGATAAATGTCTTTTCTCTTGGTAATTGCTTCTGAATTTTGCTTTGATTGATATGCTTTATAATATAATTATCCTAAAAATCATAGAAAATTTAGCTATAATTTTTAGTTCTAGTTCGAACAACTATTTTTCTTGTAGTTTCAACATCAGTTTGGTTCATATACACTTTATTTTTTGATCCAGGTCATTCTGCACATCTTTAATCAAAACTGTCAGGAACATGCTTGATCATGAAACTATTTGTTCTAAGTACATTCATCCTGTTAGGGTGACACGACAGATGAATTTCCGACACTTGAGCCTTCGTCGAGTAATTAGGAACGAAACAAACTTAATATCTGATCATCTAGTTCAACTCAAAAGAGTAATGCACACAAATATACAACATCGTCTTATTGTATTGGCGATTCGCAAGTATATTTCTCCACAGTTAAGTCAATCATCTTTACAGAAACGAATAAATTTTTCGAATTATTTTTCTTTTGTTTACCTAGTCTCCATTACTACTCTATCTTATTCTATTTTTATTATACATTGTCAATTGTAAAATCCTCGTAAAAAACAAGGATCAACTTCTAGTCGATGGCTCTCATTACCGACATGCCAATAAATGTCAAACCATCTAATGTTCTTTTAGAAATAATTATGGAAGTCATGTGTACTTTGATATTATAAAATATGTTAAAGTCACAGATTATATTCATTCACCAAATACTGAAGAAACACGAGCAATGGAATGAAATTCAAAGATTGTAATTACTGTAACAACATCACACTATCCACCTCGACCAAATTCATTCAAGTAATATCATTTTCTTGCATACTTTAATCTCTTGTTTAAGTCAGGTTCTAATGTCTGGAAGGCTCATCTGTCGGTGTATCTCGTACTAGACATACTATTTCATTTAAAATATGACATACAGAAAAAAAAGATTTCGTCGTCTTTATTATAAAACCTATTAGGGCAGTTTCGCTTTGACTTGGATGCGAAATGCACAACAGCTATTGTTATTTATTGCAAGATGTATTCTACAAATTGATTTAAATATAACACTGTATATATAATTGATACTTGGTTCAATATATCAAGTAATATTAAATGAATAATATTGTCGAGCATATTTTTCCTTTGGTAATAAATTCATGAGTTGTTAATTCAATAATTTTTTAGAAATACATAAGAAACTATGTGTGTCATGATATGTAATTTCTCGTTGCTAAGATATTTGTCATGGTCTACAGGGACCAAGAGTAATGAAAAATCTCTTTCTTTACTTCAACACTAACTTTAGGTTGTATTCCACAAAAAAAAATAATAATATTCAGGTATTATTCTTCTCGTGGATTGACAAAAATAGTCAATTTTCTTCGTAGAGAACCCTATTTACTAATGAAATAAAGAATCAAAGTATCTAATCGATTAAATTGATTGTTTTTTCTTACCCAAAGGAAATCATAATATTACTACACACTTATCCACAATTGTTTGCTTTTGGGAAACACGATCTAAAATGAATATTGAAATATAGGGATAAAATTTGTACCTCGCCCTCCTTCCACGAACCGTGGCAGATTCTATTGATATAGAATCAATGAGAGCATATCAATAAACGTCTCATGATAATATATGAACTACTTTGTTTGTTGAATTTCTGAAGGATAAATTAAAGGAATTCTAAAGAAATGTGTTGCAAAATAGAAAAAACTAAAACAATCTTTTTACGATTAGCAACAACAGCTGCATT